AATTTTTTATTTTTTATTGGTTGTTCACAACATTACAAAGCTCTTGACATATCATATTTCACACATTAGATTGAAGTGGGTTATGAACTCCCAATTTTTCCCCAAATGCAGATTGCAGAATCACGTCGGTTATACATCCACAATTTTACATAATGCCCAATTAGTAATTGTTGTATTCTGCTACCTTTCCTATCCCCTAGCAGACAATTCTTAAACATTTAGCTCAGTTTTTATTTCAACTCATATTCTTTGTGGGCTAATTGTATATGTTTATAGAAAGCTCATGTTTATATAAAGCTCATAGGCCAGATGTGGTGGTGCACTCCTATAATCCCACTGACTGGAGACGCTGAGGCAGGAGGATCATGAGTTCCAAACCAGCCTCCACAATTTAGGAAGGGCCTAATGAGTTGGCTCAGTGGTTGAGTACTTCTGAGTTCAATACCTGGTACCCCCACCAAACAATAAAAAGCTCATATAGATTAGAAATTGATTGAAAAGAAAAAAAAGGACAGAATGGAAAATTACATATTTTATTCAATTTTTTTAAAGTTATCAAATATATGAATGAAAGACAACTAGTAAAAAATGATACTAGTGGTTGTATTAGAGAGTTACAGGTGATTTTCTTCCATATATAAATTGTTTAGGACAGGTAAATGATAATATATTTTGAGACTTTAGCCTAATCATGCGGTCTGGGTGTCTGTATTCATGGAAATAAATTTTCAGGTATATTTCTCTCTTTTGAAAGTAATATTTCAAGTCAGCTTGGTTTGTTGGTTAAGATAAGCAATAGGCTTTGGAATCATTACAACTTGACTTCAGATGCTGATTCTGTCACTTACTATGTGATCTTAGATGAGTTTCTTCACCTCTCCAAGCCTCTGTCTCTGTATCTGCAAAACAAGACCAATAATCCCTATGTTATAGGGTTATTTTTGTTGGAAAACTCTAAATATACACCGAGACTACTATTATGGGCAAACTATGACTTAAAATTCATAATGAATATCATAATGGCCCTCAGACATTTTTTTGTGCTGTTACATAGTAACTTTCCAATGTTTTTCTTGGCTCTCAAACTATCAGTTCTGTAGTTTTATTATTATGGCACTTAACATTTGAACTCTGGAACAAAGAGTGTCATATGTTTAAAAAAATAAAATGTATGTTTTGTATGTCCTGTTTTTATTTACCTGGTCAGAGATGACTTGTTTGTAGTGACCGAGTACCTTGCTAGTGGGCCACTGACTGATGTTGTAACAGAAACCTGCATGGATGAGGCGCAGATTGCTGCTATGTGCATAGAGGTGAGTTTTCTATCTTTGGGATAAAGCAGGGTGTGATGTGTGGTCAGCAAGAAATGAATTAAAGGAAAGTTTTTCTGCACAGGGAATTTCTGCAATGTGTACTGTTTCATCTCTGATGAGAGTTTCAGGCCTTCATGTGTAGGATACCTTGGGAATGGGATTTAGGCCCTTTTCTGTATGTGTGTGTGTTATTGGGGATTCAATCCAGGGGTGCTCCATCACTGAGCTACAACTCCAGTTCTTCTTATTTTTTTTTAAATTTTTGAGACAATCTCAAAGTTGCCTCGAACTTGTGATTCTCCTACTTCCACCTCTGGTGTAGCTGGGGTTACATGCATGCCTAGTTAAAGTCTTTGAAGAACTAAATTCACTGCAAATCTCTTTATAGTCATCACAATAGTTTATCATCCAGACAATGCACTTTTGAGAATAAAAGGGGGGGGGTGCTTTTAAAAATATACTACTCAGCCAGGTGTGGTGGTGCCTGATGTAATCCCAGTTACTCAGGAGGCTGAGACAGGAGGATTGCAAGTTCAAGGTCAACCTCAGCAATTTAGGGAGGCCCTAAGCAACTTAGTGGGACCCTGTCTCAATTTCAAATGTAAAAAGGGCTGGAGATATTAGCTCAATGGAAAGTTTCTCTTGATTAAATCTTTAGTGTCCCTTTTCTGGCACCCAGTAGTACCTTCCCCCACCCCCCAAAAAATTGGGAACTAGAACTATCACAAACAAAGCAAAACACATTCACTTTCCATATCAGTAAGTCTACCTCTGGTTTTATTGAGCTTACTGAAGATGAAGAAATGGTTGTTTCTTTATAAATTTTAATGAACTTTCAGATGTAATGTTTGTTTAAGCTAGTAGAATTTTCCAAATTGCCTAAGTCTAAGCCAAAAACAAGTTTCATAACTTTTCTATACAGGAGACTTAGGTTAATTGTTTACTTATTGTCATTGAAATTGATACTACTTTGTCCTGATGTCACAGGGATCTTTGTCATAAATGACAAAACTATAAATATTTATGAGGGACTATGGTGTAAAACATAGTGAATTATAAACTTTGTATAATACATAGTGAATTAGTTTTATAAAGGTAACATTCTTTGAAAATTTAATTCTGAGTTGTGTTTAACTGAAATAATTAAAGGAAGGAAGAACTTTTTCATAGTTCTGAATATCATCCCTTAAACAGACTATATTTAGTCACTTAAAAACTAATCAAAACTTAAGAATTTCTCTATTTATACTTTATTTTTACCATTTTTTTCATACCTGATATAAAATGTATTTTAGGAGTTGTTCTAACTGCATTCACTTGAGGTTTCTTTTATGTTCCCCAAATTTTAACCTGTGACAAGTTTATTTCTACTTATTTGTATAAGGATTTTTCTGTGTCTTTTCAAGAATCTGATTAAATGCCTGGTAAATGTAATATGATAATAACATTTATATGTTTTTTCTTTGTATAATAGTAGAATATTTTTAATGATATTTTTACTAGTTACAAATAATGTACAGACTTTGTTGTTCTTCTACTCTGATGGAAATGAAAATGAAAATACAACTAACTTTTCCCAAGTGTATAATTTATCCTATCAGTTTGTATTAAAAAACCAGGGGGCAAAGAATTTTTTTAAATCTCATTCTTGAATTTAAGGAAGGGGGTAATTTATGCTTGCTTTTAGAAAATATTTTTAGTTGCAGATGGTTATTATTTTATTTATTTATTTTTAATTGTGGTGGATATTTTTGTTTCTTTGCTTTGGTTCTGGGTATCAGACCTAGGGCCTCAAACATTCTGGACTCTACCACTGAACTCTACCCCTAACCATATATTTTCATGGTTAGTATCAGGCTGTGGAGATAGCTTGACATAAAATCTACCAGAGAAGAAATGAAGAAGACAGAACATTATATTGATGAACCCCTCAATGCAACCAGACCACCCTCCATCTTGCCTGCTTCTCTCAGTGGCTCACATTGATGAAACCTCAAGTTTCAAGTGAAAATAACCATAAGTTTATTCTCTACTGTGGAAATAATTTGTAAAAACTTATGCTTATTCAAGAGCTATGTAATGTTTTGAACAACTAATAATAAAAAAAAATTTTTAAAAAAGAATTTATGTATTTACCAAGTGCTATGTACTATTAGGCATTTAAACCTGAAAAGGCCTAGAAGTAATATGGACCCATCCTTCATTTTATTAGAGACTTCTGAACACTCAGTTTTTAAAATCCATGGCACAGACAGTGTTTGCCTAATATAGACAGTGCCCTGGGTTTGATTCCCAGCATTGCAAAAAAAAAAAAAAGATAGAAAAATATATGGATGAGCTGGGCACAAGGCAGGTGTCTGCAGTCTTAGCTCCTCAGGAAACTGAGGCAGGAGGATTATTTGAGGCCAGCCTGGATAACATAGAAAGGCCTTGTCTAAAAAAAAATCATTGGGAAAGAAAGGACTTAATAAGATATTAGTTAAAAATGTCTCTAGATGAGATCACAGTGCGGAAGGGAATCTTCTAATTAAGGCATTATATTTTCAGAACTTTGCATATGAGATGATGCTTTCCTTTTAAATGTTAAGTATTGCAGGGTCTTTGGCTGAATACTATAGACAGTGCTAAAGGCCATAAGTAGTAGTTATAATGACTCTGTGTGAACTAGTGAATGGGACTCTCCAGGACTGTTTCATTGATATGTGTTTTCTTGTGTTCAGTGTTTACAGGCATTGGAGTTTTTACATGCCGATAATGTGATTCACCATGACATAAAAAGTAACAACGTACTTTTGGGGATGGAAGAAAATACATTCATTACTTATTTTTTATTATGTTTTCCTCCCTTTTTAATTAAAAAACCTAATCTGTTAATATTCTTGAAAATTAAAATATGGAAAAGGAAAGAATCTAGTGGTAAAGACCATGAACTTGGACCTGAACTGGGTTTAAATGGCACAGCTGCTACTACTTGCTGAATAATGTTGGGCAAGTTAATCTCTTTGTGTCTCTTTTCTCATTTATTCTCTAAGGAAGGATAATATTACCAATCTCAGGATTTTTTTTTTTTGGAGGTTAAACATGTAAAGGACTAAGAAGCAGTGCCTGGGACTGTCCTAGTATTGATGCTGTCTTAGAGATATAAATTTGCATTTGTTTCTGCCATCTGTTAGACTAGTTTTTCTCATGGTACTCTTCAGCATTCCCTGAGCTTTATCCAGTATAGCCTAAGCAGGAGGGGGCTGTGTGACCCTAACCTCAGGGATGACAAAGGAAAATATGCCCTTTTCTAATGTTCATCTGTATGAGACATAGCAGGGTCAATGCAAAACATAGTGAACTTCTTTCCTCTGTGTCCATAATCTCTGAATTCCTGCCATGCCCCCTGGAGGACTCAAGCAGAGCTATTAAAGTACATCTAGTAAGTTACTCAATCAGGTCATCAAAATATAAGATTCTATTTTTAGTTATCTTAGTGGGCAAGTTGGAAATTAATAATCACATACATTTTTGGAAGAGACATATGAAAATAGAATTAGACTTTTTTGGAAAATGTTTTGTGGTGACTCTGCCACTTACTAGATTAATGATCTTAGGTGAATTAATTAAAAACATATATGCCTTGGTTACCCTTTTTTATAAATGAGAATTATTTTAATAGTAAGCATACCTGTGGCTGAGTTTAGTGGAGCAAACCTATAATCCAGCAGTTTGGGAGGGTGAGGCAGGAGGATCGCAAGTTCAAAGCCAGCCTCAGCCATCTAGCAATGTCCTAAAGCAACTTAGCAAGACCCTGTCTCTAAATAAAACATTTTAAAAGCCTGGGGATGTGACTCAGTTGTAAGTACCAGTAAAAAAAAAAAAGGAAATTACCCAGAACAAATTTTTTAAAAATTACCCATCTCATAGTGTTATCGTGAGGATTAGATATTTTTACAAGGTTCTTGAACAGTACCTCGGTTTTATAAACACTCGTTTTCATTATAAATATTACTTTACCTAACAGTTGCACTTTTCAGTATTCACTCCAGTAGAATTATTAAACATATGCACCACAATTAGTAAGAGGATATTCCTGCAATTATTATTATTATAATTATTATAATTATTATAATTAGTTATACATGACAGTAGAAGGCACTTTGACACATCATACACAAATGGAGTATAACTTCTCATTTTTCTGGTTGTACGTGATGGATGTAGAATCACATCAGTCATATAGTCACATATGCACATAGGGCAAAAATGTCCAATTCATTCTACTCTCCTTCCTATCCCCACACCCACTCCCCTCTGCCTAATCCAAAGTAATTTTATTCTTCTATAGCCACGCTCCTTATTGTGAATTAGTGTCAATATATCAGAGAAAACATTTAGACTTTGGGTTTGGAATTGGCTTATTTGGCTTAGTATGATATTCTCCACTTCCACCCATTTATTGACAGATGTCATCACTTCGTTCTTCTTTAAAACTGAGTAATATTCCATTGTGCATGTAGGCCACATTTTCTTCATCTGTTGAAGGACACCTAGGTTGGTTCCATAGTTGTGAGTTGAGCTGCTTTGTACCATTGATGTGGTTGCGTCACTGTAGTATGCTGATATTAAGTCTGTTGGGAATAGACTGAGAAGTGGGATAACTGGGTCAAATGGTGGTTTCATTCCAAATTTTCTTAGGAATCTCCATACTGCTTTCCATAATGGTTGCACCAATTTGAAGTCCCACCAGCAATCTATGAGTGTGTCTTTTCCCCCACATCCTCACCAATATTTATTGTTAACTTGTCTTCTTGATAATTGCCATTCTGACTGAAGTGAGATGAAATCTGAGAGTAGTTTTGATTTGTATTTCTCTAATTGCTAGAGATATTGAACACTTTTTCATATATTTGTTGATGAACATATATCTTCTGAGAATTGTCTGTTCAGTTCCTTAGTCCATTTATTGATTGGGTTATTTGGTTTGGGGGTGTTACGATTTTTGAGAGCTTTATAATATTCTGGAAATTAGTGCTCTATCTGATGTGTGGGTAGTAAAGATGTTCTGCCACTCTGTGGGCTCTCTCTTCACATTATTGATCATTACCTTTGCTGAGAAGAAGCTTGTGAGTTTGAATCCATCCATTATTGATAAGTAATATTGTTTTATGGCTCAGAATATGATCTGTTTCAATGGAAGTATGAAGGGCCCTCAAAGGGAACGGGAGTTCTGTAGTTGTTGGGTGTTGTATTCTGTAAAGTCAGGCTGAGGTGGTTGATACTCTTGCTCAAACCTTCTATGTCTTTATTAATATTTTTGCCCAATTAGTGTATTTACTGAGAGGTATCAAAATCTCCCACGACTGTTGGTAACTGTGTGCTTCTCCCTTTCATTCTGTTGATTTTTGCTTTATATATTTTGAAGCTCTGTTACTGGGTGCAGGAACAGTAATTATTGTCATATCTTCAGAATTTATTTTTTTTTGAAATATAGAACCACATGAATATCTTTTATTGTGAAATAAAATAATCCAAATGATTGTAAACCCA